CTTTTTACAATTATTGACCCGGCGTCGCCGTGAACAGCAATGGGGGGGGTAAAGGGGGCCAGGGGTATATAGCGCCAAATAAACGCCGTGGCAATACCAGCAAGTCTGAGGCCGGTGTCTGCCGCACGTGGCCAGACGGCTGTAAATTTTACAAGCCGAGAGTTTTGGGGATATAATTTCGGGCTCCGGGTGGCCACAGACTGCTCCGCCGCGTGAATATTTATGGTGTTTGCGTTCTCTCCGTAGTGTTACTATGGGAAAGTTAACCAGCGTGAAGGATGGAGGGGGAGGGGAGGGGACTGAGGGGGTATCATGGAACCCGCAGGGTAACCTCAGACTCCGTCCTGCAGCTTTTCATCCGGCGAATTGTCCTTTAGAAAAGTATCTCTACAATGGCGCCAAAATCATGACACGGCGTCCGCTGACCAGGTCTGCGCTCCTCCCGAACTTCTATACATTGTATATTTGGATGGAAGACGAGGAATTACAAAGTCCACAAGACGCAGGAACCAGATCCATCCATCACCTCCAAAAAAAGGACACCAGACACAAATCACGCTCTTCTCTGGGCTCCGTATCATTGTTATATGCCAAGCTTCAATATACTCCCCACTGTACAGAGATATCATTGCTTGCCATTCCAATTAGTGAAAGGGGCGGGGCCAGGGACAGTCAGGCTGGGGGGGAAAGTGCTAGATGATGCTGGACGTCCTCCAGCCAGGAAATGAGGCGGAGCTCTATCTGACTTGCTGCAGCTTCTAATCCACACTGTGAGAAGCTCCCAGTGTGCAGTGATATCAGAGGAAGAGGAGCCGGTACAACTGTGCAAGACTGAAGGGAAGGACGGAGGTCAGATAGAAGACTGAAGGGAAGGACGGAGGTCAGATAGAAGACTGAAGGGAAGGACGGAGGTCAGATAGAAGACTGAAGGGGAGGACGGAGGTCAGATAGAAGACTGAAGGGAAGGACGGAGGTCAGATAGAAGACTGAAGTGGAGGACGGAGGTCAGATAGAAGACTGAAGTGGAGGACGGAGGTATACAATTCCCCTGGAGCAGCAGCCGGGCCTTATCCAGGAAAATGATATAAAATGTGACTAAGAATCTCTTTGGTTGGGAATTTTGTGACCTCTTCAAGGCTGAGCAGTTGCCGGATATGAAGGACGGTCCTTGCTGTTCTCCTCTTGCACCGGGTTGGAGTCGGGTTGGTGGAGGACGATCGCTGACGGCGCCTCATTGTGTGCGGGTTGATTATAGCGACGGTATGTGTTCCCGATCTATTGAGCCGACCTGTGACAGTTTCATTGTCAATCAGGCAGCTGGGTGGATCTCGACAGTATTGTCAGCATCGGTCCCGGCTGCGGCGGTCTCAGTATACCGCGAGCTGTAGCTCCCTATATACTGAGCTTAGGGTGACGGGAGGACGCTAGTTTGTGTCCTCCCGTTACCCTGAGGAGAACTACGGGGAAAAGCCCTAACCTCCATACCCCATAGATAAGATGAATGCCCCTCTCAGGCATGCGCTTTTGCTCCCTATGGCTGTGCCCGGTGCAGGAACGTCATTTATAACACAATGAACTATCTGACGGGTAACGGGGACATTCTGTGGGAAACTGTTGCAGATATGTTGAAAATTGTAACAAAGGATCTCTTATGTCCCAGTGACCATAGTCTGGTCCGGCGCCACAGGGCAGCCATCAGGGGGGTACGGCAGATACTCATGTAAGGGGCCCGGGCAGCCTGGGGGGCCCGCCCGGGTCCCTTACATGACTATCGGCCGACGGTGAAGGGCGAGGAGGCGGAGGCCCGGCCCTAGCAGCGCAGGTCCCCAGCATTGCAGCTCCAGCGGCTTTGGGACAAGCTAGGGCCCCATCAGCGATGCTGCTCGTCTGATGTCGGACTGGCAGGAAGTGACGTGACTTCTGGCCGGTCCGGCGGCATACGAGGCCATGTGTGCAGGTAAGAGGAGCTAGGAAGGAAGGGAGGGATCCAGCCCACCTGAGACCCCTTCAGAGCCCACCATAGACAGTCTCAGATGGGATGTGCAGCATCTATGGTGGGCTCTGCAGGGTCCCTCTCAGGAAAGAGGAGCTAGGAAGGAAGGGAGGGATCCAGCCCACCTGAGACCCCTTCAGAGCCCACCATAGACAGTCTCAGATGGGCTGTGCAGCATCTATGGTGGGCTCTGCAGGGTCACTCTCAGGGGGGTCCTGTGCCCAGCGCGTCACTAAGCCCTGCGTCCAGCGCGTCACTAAGCCCTGCGTCCAGCGCGTCACTAAGCCCTGCGTCCAGCGCGTCACTAAGCCCTGCGTCCAGTGGCGCCGTCTACTCTTTGGAGAACTATCAGGTTATTCTATTCACCTGAAATATATGAAAACGTTTCCATTGTAAGTCCCAGAAACGGCGACATTTCTGTGATTTCTCACACGAGGATATTCATAAACTGACGCGGTGTGAATCATTGTTTTGTCACAATAGTAACAATGTTGCAATCTTGTTGATGGTTTATCGTCGCACGGCGCCCAGACACCAGATTTATATTTAAAGCAACGGCGCCCTGTAACCCGCGCCGCCCCAGAGCATCATGGGATATGCGCTCCAGCACCAGCTGGCGTCTGCCGAGTCTTGTGGCTGGACGGTGGGGTTCCCGCGGGTGATGACACCGACCTCTCTGACCGACCCCAGAGCGGTCCCGAGTGACAGGTGGGCGATGATTGAAGTGTGCGCTCACACGCGGAGGGGCGATTTCAGAAAAGCTTTTTTAGCGGTTTCTGAATTACGGGGGCGCCCGCGGCGTGATTAATCCGCCTTATTAAAGAAAATTGCGTGCGAGCCGCTGATGTGAATATAATTAAAACAAAATGAGCCGGCCTGGCGGTTTGCGGATTCGTCTTCTGCGTCACGTCGAATTTGGTTCTCTGTACAGAAAGACGAGCGGAAATGGAGTGTGCGTCGCAAAATAGGGGGAGCGGTCACATTATTACCGTAAGATGGCAAACGTTCCAAAATTGCTGAGATCGCCCCGGGAGGAGGAGCAAAAATTAATCTGTAAGAAGGCGACGAATCGCACATTGGGGACTCTTCCGTTGTTGCCGTCTGCAGCCTAGGGTTCGACCTCCTCTGTCTTAGCATCACAAGGTGTTTGAAGCTATTGGCCTCCAGATAAAGGGGGTCGGCAGCTTTGTATTGTCGGGACTCCCCTTTCGGAACGTTCCATTGTGCTGCAATTTTGTTTCTTGTCACCTGATAATTAATTGTGATTAAGGAGAACCTTCACAGGAAATAAAAGTCTT